AGGGAGAGAGAGAGAGAGAGAGAGAGAGAGAGAGAGAGAGAGAGAAAAAAAGAGAAAATGGACAACGACAGCCAAACCAATGAGGGCGCGGAACGCGACGAGATCGCAAATGTCTCGCCCTCTCCCGCGCGCCCGCAAACGCGCAAACGTCGGCGCCGCCAATGAATTGCGAGCCCTTCTCGCCGACGCCACCGAACTCGAGCGCGTTTGCTGCGTCGGCGCCCTTCCCCACGCAGACCTGATGAGGCGCCCGGCGCGAAGCTTCTCGACGGCTTCTACCTAGACCGTGCGCCCGACGCAGCGCGCTCCTCCACGCCCGAACTGACCGCGGCCCTGGGCCTGTTCATGGGCGCGTCGGACTCGACTTCTCGCGAGCTCGCCGCCAGCTTGCCCGCGCGCGTTGCTCGCGCAGAACAGTAGCTGGCGCCGGCCTCGCGAGGCGATGTGACTTTGCCCGCTCGCACGCCAAGCTCGTCGATGGCGAAACGGGCGATCCGAACATCGGTCAGCCCCGCGATGGCGCCGCGGGCGAGCGAGCGCGCCCGCCGCGACCCGCCCCCGCTTCGCGGTCTCCCGCGCCTCGCACAGAAACTCACCCGCAGGCGGAACAGCGGCGGGCCCCCAAGTCACCCGACAGCGCGGACACGCCACCAGCCATCAAGATCTCCTACTGGCCGCCCCTGGCGCGCTTGCCAGTCGCGCTCGCCATGACATGCGCGCGGGGGAGTCCGATCGACGCCGCCGCCCCCTCTCTCTTGACTTGCAATTCGGCGGGGCCCTTCGCCACGGTGCCCGCGGTCGCGCGCTGGGCGGTCGGCTGCCGCGAAAAGCACCGCGATTCGCCCGGGGAAATCAGGCCAGCGAGACTGCCCGACAACTCATTCACATACTTTGCCAGCCCGTCGGCCACCGCGCGGAAGAGAGGGCCCGCGCGAGTCGCCTAGCGGAAGATCAGACAGTCGACCTGGCGCCCTTGGCTAACGGGACGGTTCGCAATGTGTGCGACATTGAACATCAGGACCATGCGTCTCTGGCAACGAGCAACCTGTTGACCAGCATTGCCAGCTTCTTGTGCCAAGTTGCTTCACCCACGGGCTATACATGGCGAGTTCGCATCGAAACGCCTTCCATTTTTTGCGTTCGCCGCATGCCCTTGCGTAGTCGGGCTGGGGACCGCGCAGCCACTTCAGGGAGAGCTTGTCATTTTGAAAGAATATCTCGGCTCGCCCGGGCCGCACTAAAGGCAAAGAAACTTCTGCACTGAAGCACCGCAGCCCCAAGTATGTATGTCCACAGGGGTAGCGTGCGAAATTCGCTTCGCAATCGTAGCGAAGTGCCAGGCCTGCATAGTCCTGTATTATTACATCATAACACGCCTCGATATTGTCAGATTCGGGCGTGCCGACTGGGGGGGCGGGCTCCATGCGCGCTAGATGTTGAAACAAGTTATGGACGCCATTCCTCAAGATGTTGGCGACCTGGTCACAGACCTTCGTTTGGGGTAACCCCGTCCCCATACCGATTCCACAGGTTCACGAACATATGTGTGTTGAACCTTTGCCGTCATGGGACCATCCATCCCGCCCCGCTTAGCTATGATGCACACGTGTTCAAACAATGCGATTGCGGGGGGGAATTGTCTGACCATATGCAGGTTGAATCGCCTGCGTGTCCCGTTTGGCATGTTGAATACTCTGTTGTCGCATGGCGCCTAGGGCTTATGACGCCACGTGGAAAAAAAACGCTTGAACCAATACTACAGCGCTTGCGCATTATTTTCGGACAAACACGGCAGGTTCAACATGCATCGTTATCGAAATTTGTTTCGCAACTGGTTATTGGGCTACGGAACCGGTACGAAATGCATTCACATGCAAACTGAACGATCGCAATCGCGAGGGAGGAAATCGAGAAAAAAACACTGCGTGTTTTTGCAAGCAAGGCCCATGGCAGCAACACCAATAATCCATGTTTCTGCCCAAACGTCATTGAAAACTTGACAAAACTAACAATGTTTCGACCCTCGCGTGAATACGCCAGACTCAAGGTCCCCTGCTAGGTAAGTTGGCAGCTGTATAACTGCAACTGCTTACATCGTACTTATGATGTACGTATAACAAACTAAACTAACAACGTAGTTAGACCATAGTTCTTGGCTAAAAATATAATCATCAAACGCGTTTGGACAGGGACCGAAAAAGGCCCCCGGAGCTCGAGAAATGCATTAACAACAATGACGTCCCGAACCCAGAACCTCGAACCTATTCGCCCTTGGACAGGTTCGTGTCGTGCCGACTTCGGCGTTGGTCTCTGACACTGCGGGGATCGTTCAACTTTGAACGATCGTTCAACCTCAGACCCCCAGCCAGCTCCCACCTGGGGGAGGTTCAGGCGGCGCTCGGGCGGCGCGCCCCGGCGGCCTCGCCGATGTGCTGCAGCGGCGGCTTCGCGCAAGCCAGGCACCCCAGGGATCCGGACACCTCGGGCGGCGTTAGGCGTGCGCTTCGGAGCGAGGAGGCGCGAGGATCCTCGAGCATTCTCACAAGGGCGACAATTCTTCAGACTCTTCGGATCGAGGAAGCTCCAGGGACGTCGGGTCGATGCGGGGATCGGCGTGCAGAGGTCCGACGCCCTGAGGCGACGCAGAGGCGGTCGCTTGCTGATCATCCTTCCAGATATCAGGGGGGCCATGTTTGGGCCCTGGGCTGGGGCAGGCAAAAAAAGGCCCTGGATGACAAGCTGCTTGACCATCTGTTTTGACTCGCTCCGAGCGCCCTGGCCGGAGGGCACCGCACTTTGATTGCAATGCATGTGTTTGTCCGTTTCGTTTCTGTCTCCCTTCCTCCTCTTCCTCTACAACTACAAAATATGAATACTGCTCTCCTCTCTCCCCTGATGGCGTCCGGAAGATATGAGCCCCCCCTCCGCGCATTGTTGCTTTACTCACAGGATTCCCGGGAAAGGGTTTTCGCATGGGTTTTGTTTCAAAGTTTGCTCCCGTTGCATCGCTGACCTCATTTCTGCGCTTCCGTTCGTTCCGAATCGTACTTCCGCTGCAGCGCTGGCCTCATTTCTGCGCTTCCGCTCGTTCCGAATCGTGCTCCCGCTCCAGCAGCGGCGGCCTCATTTCTGCGCTTCCGCGCGTTCCGAATCGTGCTCCCGCCGCAGCGCTGGCGTCATCATTTCCAGTACCATGCCAAGGCATGCAATGCAATGCTATGTGGTATTCCGCTGTGCGATGCCATGCCTTCAGCCTTCAGCTGCAATGCTAGGATCTGCTGTGCTTGACTACGCAGAACCATGCCATGCTATGCCATGCTACGCTGTGATATTCAACGCCATGCCATGCCATGTTTTGCTATGTGCCGCTGTGCGATGCCACTCTATGCGTTGCAATGCTTGGTGATGCAATCCTTCACAACGCAACGCCACGCCATGCTATGACATACTACGCTGTGCCGTACTCTTCTACGCCCTGCCATGCCGTGCTCCACGGTGCATCGCGCACCCTCTCGGGACCATTGCCCTGCTCGACATCCGACTGTGCGGATACAGAGAATATCCACGCCATGGTAAGGGATGGGAGGGAGGGGTAGGACGTCAGATAGGACGCGAGCGCACCTAGCTTGTCCTCCCTCGCCTCCGCCCAACCCTGCCCTGATCAGACAGCGCAGAAGCACAGTTGTCCTGTTTGCGATTGCATTAGTTTAATACCTTGCCCACGCGCGAGACGGCGTATGACTTGTAAGATGGCCCCTGGGGAACTTGCCATCGCTCAGACGTCCATTCCCCGTGCATGTTTGGGTTGTTCGTTCCTTGTTTTCGCAAGGTACCCCCAGATGCTCCTCGATGACCCTCACCTACGAAAAATACAAACACACACACACACACAAACACACACACACACACACACACCGAGCGATGCCAAGGGAAGAGGCGGAGACCTTCTTTGGTTCCTACCAGGCAGCGGCACGTGAGCCCTGGCCCCTCGGGGGAGACTGAGCCCAACTGGATGCCCTGCCTCACCTGCACGCGCAGAACCACGCCGGGCCATCAATGTTTGGAAGATCTCAACGCTAAGCCGTGCAGCCAACCAAGGCTCTCCCTCCTCCTCATTGTCATCTTCCACCTCTTCAGGCTCCCCCTCCACGGGATGGAACTTGCGCGGCCCAAAGTAGGGGGAAACTTCATATTGCAAGGGCGCGCTCCGTCGCATTGCGTGGCATTGCTGGGCATTGCTTGGCAGTGCTTGGCATTGCTTTGCATTGCGTGTCATTGCGTTGCATTGCTTGGAATTGCGTGGCGAGGCATCAAAGAACCACGACCAAACAACAAAGGCACCCGAACCAACGGATCATTGAACTAAGGAATGAAGGCCAAGGAACCAAGGAACCAAGACCACGGACCAACGACAACAGGACCAAGGAACCGAGGAACCCAGACAGAAGAACCGAGGACCCAAGACGCGAAACCTAAGGACCATGACCAAGGACCTAGGAACCGAGGACCCAAGACCATGGAACCAAGGAGCCAAGACACACTACCAAGAGAACACAGACCATGGAGCCAAGGAAACCATGGCCTCAAGATATCACATGGCTGGGGCGTCTCAAGCGAAACGCCCGGAACGCCCTTCTGACATGTTGAGACATGCAACAGCGAAAAAAATTGCAAGGAAGCGGGATGGATGGAGAAAGAGGAGGAGGAAGAGCGTTGCTTCTCTTTTCCATAGCACTAATCTACCACGATGAAGCGTAGTCGATTTGAGTTCTGGGTCCAGGATGTCGTCGAGCCCGACACGTACAAGCCAACCTCGAGAAAAGGCCATATATAGACAGAGAGAGAAAGAGAAGGCAGGAAGGGAGGGAAGGAGAGAGAGAGAGAGAAAGAGAGAGAGCGAGATGAAACAAAAAAACAGAGACAGTACGCCTCGGGCAGGCGAAACGAGCATCATGCTACGGACGCTGCCCCCGCGAAGGACAACAACCAGAGGCCGCAGTTGAAGGGGAAGGGGGAGGAGAAGGAGGCAGAGGATCGAGGCAAGAAGGAGGAGGAGGAGTCGGAGGATAAGGACAGGGATGGGGAGGAGGAGGAGGAGGAAGAGGAGGAGGAGGCGGAAGATCGGGACAAGGAGGAGCCCGGCAACCGCTCCCGCTAGGAAGCGACCGCGTTCCATCATGCAGCAAGACATCGGCGGCAAATCGGCCTCAGAGAAGTCGCCGCCAGGGGCCAAGGCCGCCCCTCGGACATAGGGAAACAACTCTCGTACATCCAGTTCGGGTTCGGCTCGAACCGCACGGCTTTTGCGCTCCACAGCACGTGCACCGAGGGCTTCGGCCGTATTTAGCCCGATCGGGGAAGCCAAACAACGCCAATGCCAGCACGCGCGGGCTGCTGCTCCAGCCCCATCTTGGGAACCAACCAGGACGTCGAGACCTCCGAAATCACAGTCGGCCTGTCACCACGGACGCCTTTCCGATACGGATGGCTCCTGCGCAAGATCCAAGCCAATCGCGGATCACGTTCCGAGAGGCACACCCGCAACCAGTCCGACGCGAGAGCACTCCTGTCCCAACGGCCTTCTACCTGGCACACGGCTTCGCACGAAGAGCACGGAGCAATCAAGCCAGCGGCTAAGGCGCCGGCGGGCTGATCAAGAACACGAGTCAGAATGTGCCACATTGAAATGATCAAAAACCTGCTGCAGATCCTCAAGTGCGCAGCATGCGGAAATAATCCGTGGGGGGGACGCAAAACGCCAACGTCGCCAACTGATCAGAAGAAACCCCAACGGCAACGTCGCCCCCGAACACCAGCCAAATCGAAGTGCCGCTTCACTCGCAGCGGGGCCGCCCCAATAACACCAACACAAACTGTAGGAAACTTGCATCGAGAAGAGAAGGAATGATTGGACCACGCAGCGGCCAAGGAGGAAGGATGGGGAGGAAGAGGAGGAGGAGGAGGAGGAGGAGGAGGAGGAGGAGGAGGAGGAGGAGGAGGACCCATCTTGGAGGCTGCTGGGGGGGGCTGAGCTGGTTCGAACCTTGGAGAATCGGTCAGGATGGGAGGATGAAGCCAAATCAACCCGTCCCCGCACTCCTCCCTGGGGTCCATCAGGTGCAGTTTGTCACCCCAGATCCGCTTTTCACTGTCTCTAAGCCCGAAAACGAAACCTGGAGGCCGAAACAAGCAGAAAAGAACCCTCCCGACCACAGCGTCTCGAACCTCGCCGCTTTCCTGCTGGCCGGGAACAGTGCTGGGCCACTTCAGACCCCCAGACGGCTCCAAGATGATTGGACCACGCGGCGGCGCAGGAGGAAGGTGGAGGGAGGAGGAGGAGGAGGAGGAGGAGGAGGAGGAGGAGGAGGAGGAGGAGGAGGAGGAGGAGGAGGGATCTGAGGGATCTGATGACACGGCGGGGGTCTTGCCCGCCCTGGCGCCAAGCCAAAGCGCCCCCTCCTACGGGGAGCCAGCGCCGAGCCCAACGCCCAGCTATTTCGAGGGGAACCCAGCACGGCGACAATGCAGGCCAGAAGCCCAAGGAAAAACAACAGAGGCGACGAAACAGGACCGAGGCGAGCCCAGCAGAGGCGACGAGGAAGCCCAGGCCAATCCCAGACCACGCCGCCACGGCCCACGCACCTCAGGCCTTGGTCGCCTTCTTCTGGAGGGCGTTGATCATCGCAACGCCCTTCACGATGACGACTTGGCCGAAACGATGCCCAGCCTTGGTCACCTTCTTCTGGTGGGTCTTGATCATCACAAAGTCCTTCACGATGACGACCTTACTGAAACGATTCCCAGCCTTGGTCGCCTTCTTCCGGCGGGCACTGATCATCACAACGTCTTTCACAATGACGACCTTGCCGAAACGATTCCCGGCATTCGTCGCCTTCTTCTGGCGGGCCTTGATCAGGCTGACGCCGCCATGGCCCGCGACGCGGCTCGGGCGCGCTGCGCCCCTCTCAAGTGCGCGCGCCCAACCCTCTCGAGGGGAAAGGAGCTAGGAGGAGGAGGAGGAGGAGGAGGAGGAGGAGGAGGAGGAGGGGGAGGAGGAGGAGGAGGAGGAGGAGGAGGAGGAGGAGGAGGCGGAGGAGCGAGGCGGAGCGAGGCGGCCTCCCCCCGTGGCCGCACCTGGAGCCGCGGGGCCGCCGCCGAGGGGGCCGCGGAGAGGGCGGCCGCCGGGCCGCCGAGGCCGAGCCCCGGACGCCCGCCCACGGCGGCGGCTTCGTGAGGCCGAGCGTGTGGGCGCCGCCCTGTGGCCCGCGCCGGCGCCGCCGCACGACGACGACGACGACGATCACTACGACGACGACGACGACCACGACGACGACGACGACCAGAACGTCGACGTCGTCGTCGACGACGAGGATCGATCGGTCGAGGCTCGGGCATCTCGAGTCTAGGATCCATCGAGGTTAGAAGATCGATCGAGGTTCGAGGTTGAGGATCTTGAGCCGAGGATCGATATTGAATCGGGGAACGATCGAGGTTCGAGGTCGAGGATCGAGGTTCGATGATCGATCGAGGATCCCTCTGTCGAGGTTCGAGTATACTATTATACATCATTCAATCGGCAGCGCCGGCGAACGCAGGCGCAACGATCGGTGCTGGCGGGACTCGCCAGGCGCGGGGCGCGCGACGGGCACGAGAAGATGAGGGCGGCCGCAGGGGGCAATCGGCGAGCGAGGGAAGCGCAGGCGGCCGCAGGCGTCGAACAGGAGAGCAGGAAGACTCGCCGTGATTGAAAACACCGGTCTGCCAGAGGTCTGGGCTTCCTGCAGGCTGCTCCCTCGGTCATCCACCCCCGGCCTCTCCAGGGACGCGCACAGCGCCTAAAAATCTCGAGAGGGATCCAGCCCTGGCGACGAAAACCCCCCCCAGGGGGCCCGGAAAAGGGCACCCAGAGGTCGCAACCGAGAAAAAGCGCCTTGCCTGAATGAGAAAAAGCGCCTCGACCGAAAGCACGAATCCGCAGGGTGTCTGGGGCGACGACGCCGTCGGCAACGCCTCCGGAGGACGACACCGCCTCCGACGACGAGGGTGACGAGAACGACGACGCCGACGCCGACGACGAGTCTGACGAGGACGAGGTTGTTCACGACGACGCGCACGACTTGCGCCTGGAGGCCCTCGGCGAGGTGGCCCTTCACGACGGCGTCGAGGCGCCTGCCGCGCTCCGGGGCGAAGGGCTCCCACGCGTCCAGCTGCACCAACTCCTGTCCCATCGCCGAAGGCGCATACAGGCGTGAGGCGTCACTCCTCCTCCTCCTCCTCCTCCTCCTCCTCCTCCTCCTCCTCCTCCTCCTCCTCCTCCTCTCAATCCTCCTCCTCCTCCTCCTGGTCCTCCCCTCTTCGTCCTTCTCGTCCTCCTCCTCTTTCGCTTCCTCCTCCCTCCGCCCTTCTCATCCCCCCTCCACCATTATCCTCCCTCCTCCTCCCTCTCCCTCCTCCTCCATCCCTTTTCCTTCTGAACAGCTCCTCCACGTCGCACCCCCAGACGTGTCGGTAGGGCGAGCCAGGCGTTTCGCCTGAGACTTCCTCACCCTTTATGATCCTCAAGCTTGAAATTCACAACAGCTTCAAGGAAGGCGGGCGGGTGGCTTTCAAAATGTAGCTCTCGCTTTAGCGCCACGCACGTTTGCCTTGAAAGGTAGGGAATGCTTCGAGGATGGAGGGCGGGTCGGTTTCAAAATGCGGTTCTCGCCTCAGAGCCGCGCACACTCGTATTAAAAAGTTTGCAACAGCTTCAAGGATGGAGGGCGTCTCCTTTTGACAATGTGGCTCTCGCCTCAGCGCTGCGAGCAGTCGTTTTAAAAGTTCGCCGCCATTTGAAGGATATGTATGTTTGAAATGGCAGGAACGGTGGTCTGGCACGATCAAGGATTGTCAGGGCGCAACAGTCAGGTTGATTCGTGAAGCTAAATTCCCAAGAATGGTGCTGTGGCACGGCTTAATTAGGACTGCCAGGACGCAACAGTCAAGATGATTCGCGGTGTGAAAGTCCCAAGTCAGGTGTTAAGGAACGAATCAGGGCTGTCAGGACGCACCGATTAAATTGATTGGCGGAGTTGAAATCCCATGCATGATGCTTCCGGCACGATGAAGGATTATCAGACCGTTGTCTTTGAATGAGACGTTTCCCACAATGAAGTTTCTCCGACACTTCGGCGTGTGCGAGATGCTGTCGTCGTCGTCTGTCCTGGAGGAAATCGAAGACCAAGGAAGAGAGGGTCGTCATCAAGTCGATTCCCTCTCCCTTCTTCCCTTACCTAACGGGGTGGAGTGGGGGGGGGGAGGGGCACGGGGGGGAGTGGTACGTGGGGGAGGGGCACGGGGGGGAAGGGTCCCACGTCAGAATACCGCCCCCCCTCGAGTCCCGGCGGCTCCAAGAGAGGGTCGCCGTGGGTCCCGGGGGAGGTCCCACTATGGTGATGGGGGTAATCCCAGGTCTCGACGGGTCCCGCGGGGGGGGTTGCCAGCGGGGGTCCCAGTGGAGGTCCCATCTGTGGTGGTGGGGGGGGGATCCTGGGTCAAAATACCATTCACCCCCGGGGTCCCGGCGGGCCCTGGCGGGGTCGCAAGCGGGCGTCCTGGGGGATCCAATATTCAGGGTCGGCGGCAACAGCCGTAAGGCCTTCACAATAAATTATTGTAGGGGCCCATGAGAGGCTTGGAGGGAGAGATTGTTGCACATCGTTGATGGATCTTGGGTTTACACTGGTCCTCTTTCCTCCTCCTCCTCCTCCTCCTCCTCCTGCTCCTCTCCCTCTTCCTCTTCGTCCTCCTCCTCCTCCTCCTCCTCCTCCTCGTGGGCGTGGGCGTGCCCTCGTTGTCGGACGAGCAATTGGATGGACCATCACGTGTGCTACCGGTGTGGTTCGGCGTGGTGGGCCAAATCAGACACTACCGCAGTGCCGCCGAAGCCGTGGAGTCTCTGTACAGCGACCTGATGCCCAGAGGCGCATGCAGGAATGGCCCACCAGCATCCTCCAGGGCGAGCAGCGTCGCCCCCCCGTCGACGACAACATCGGTACGCCCGCCGGCTACACCTCTACGGCAGCTGGCCCCCTCTGGTATTTCTCCCCGTCCCCCGGCAAGTCGGACAGGGACGGCGACGACGACGACGCACCCACCGAGGCGAACCTGCAGACGATCAAGCAGGAGCTCGACTCGGTCCAGAATGCCATGCAGGCGCTGCACGCTGCCAACCCGCTGAAGAAGGCGCTGGAGGAGCAGGAGGAGGCTTTGAAGCAGAAGCTCTACCAGGCCAGGCCCAAGCAAAAGCAGATCGAGGAGCTGAGGAGCCTCATCTCACGGGATGCGCGTCGTCAGCAGGAGGCGAAAGTCGCAGCGGAGCAGGCGATCGCCGAGTACAACCGCCTGAAGAGCATCACGGAGAAGCACAAGCAGGAGCTAAAGGAGCTGGAGGACCATGCCCCCCCAGCCTTTCCAACACCGGGGCTGGTCGCTGGCAGCGCGGCCACGTTGCGGGACTACGCAGCGAATTTGCGAGCATGTTCCGCCTTCGACCCGAACGCCCTCGCCGAAGCGTTGGAGGCATTGGTGGAGCAGGACGCCCCCGAGCCGGGTTTTCGGATCGGCGCCCCATGCCACGCCGACAGCAGCAAGGGAGAGGGCGCGAGCGAGACGGCGATGGGCATCGATGCAGGGAGGATTGGCAAGGGCAAGCTGTCCTGCCTCAGCTGCTGGGACGGCAGTCGCACGCAGGCGAATGACTGGCAAGACGATCGTGGAGACTCCGCAGTGGGTCTCCAAGGGTCGGTGGCGGTGGACAGCAGGCCCAGCTCCGAGGAAGTCTGGGCGGCAGCTTGCATGTCCGACGACGGCGAACCACCGACGCCGGCGCTGGCCTCAACGCTCGCGGACCGACCGAGCTCTGGCCAATACCAGAGCACAAAATGGAAGTGTGGGGTCCTCCTGCGGAGGAGGGGCCAACAGCTGACAGTGCGCCGGGGGCACGCCCGATGCGCACCACCTTCGTCACAGCGCATGTTTGCACCACAGTGCCCCAGGAGGTCCTGGCAGCTTAGGAGGCAGGCTTGGACCAGGGAGGCCGCATGGCTGTGCTGAGTGACCTTTCTGACAGCAGCGGCTTCGACATTATCGGAGTGCAGGAAGGTAGGCTCCCAGGTGCACAACTCTTGGACACCAACGCCTACGCCATCTTCACAGCACCAGCCACCGACCAGCACTGACTTGGAGTGCAGCTGTGGGTACGGCACCGGCTGCGCCACGCAGTCTCGGCTGTCATGCCCCTCAACCCCAGATTGCTCAAGGCTCGGATGAAGACGGCGACGATCGACGGCAACGGCACGGCCTCTCTCGGCATCCTCGTGGCCCATGCGCCACACGAGCTGGCTGCCCCGGAGGAGGCGGACGCCTCCTGGGAGGAGCTGGAAACGGCGATCACCTCGTTCCCGAAGTGCGTGCAGACCTCAATGCGCAGATTGGGCCCCGCCCTGGGCCCGGCACCGGGGAGTACCAGTCAGCCCATGACACGCCCAACGGCGAGAGGTAGCGCGAGCTCCTGTCTCGGACCGGCATGCTGGCAGTGAACACATTTTTCGATTGCCCGAAGCCCACCTTCACCAGATTTGGGAGGAGGGCCCGAATCGACTACATCCTGGTGACTGCGGACCGCTTCACCTCTGTGCGCAAGTGCGCCGTCCGCGGGGACGTCGACATGAGGCACGGCGTCGACGAGGACCACTGGCCTGTTGCAGCCACCATCAGCGAAGTGGCTGTCCGGAGGCAGCCCGGGCCACCGAGCGCGCCCAGGTGGGACGCGCGCGCCCTCGCTGACGAGGAGAGGCGCCAACGCATGCAGCAGTTTCTCTGCGCCTCGGAAGCCACCGACAGCACCGCCGACGTAGACACGCAGCTCGCGCACTTCTACGAGATGCTCCTCGACGCGGCGGCAGCGGCAGGCATGGCCGCGCCGCCAGGCTCGCGGCCGCGACGACCATGGATCACGGAGTGGTCTTGGACCCTCATCCGGCGAGGGCACTCCCTCAAGCGCCATCTCCGTGAGGCAGCCCAGAGACTTTGACGCCGTTCTGTGGCGGTCATCTTCGAGGTCTGGCGCGCCGCGCGGTGCCCGCAGCAGCTGGTTGCCCGTCGCCGCCGGGCAGCTCTGGCGGAGGCTGCCGCGAGGCTGTGCCTGCGTCGCCGCACCCAGCAGCAGCGGGGTAGTTTGCGCGCGGACCGCGCCTCGCAGCATGAGCGATTGGCAGCTGCTGCCGACGCTGCCGCGGATGCTGGCGATGTGGCATCTCTCTACAAAATTGCCCGGCGACTCGGGCCATATCGTGCGCGGACCGTCCCGATGGTCAGGGAGAAGGACGGCACGTTCGCTGTGACGGACGAGCGGGCCCTGGGGCGCTGAGAAGAGCACTTCGCGGAGCTCCTGGTGGGCACCATCGTGCAGGAGCCGCCCCCGCTGCCCGAGACCCCGCACCCAGAGCAGCCAGCATTCCACGTCAACTTAGCGGAAGTGCGAGCAGCGACGAATGCGCTCCCACACGGGGAAGCCGCTGGCCCAGACCACATCACTGCTGAGCTCCTGCGTGCAGGAGGCGAGCCCGTTGCCAGGGCTTTGCTGTGCCTCCTGGAGCGCGTGCTGTCCACTGGACAGGTTCCCCGCGCGTGGCGAGGCGGGCGTCTCGTGCGGCTCTGGAAGCAAAAGGGCGATGCTGCCGAATGCGGTCAGTGGCGAGGCCTTCTCGTTGGCCCACATACTGGCAAGCTCTTTCTTCACGGGGATACTCATGCCGCACGTTTGCCGATTACGTCTTCAGAGCGCTCCCGCGCGAGCAGCACGGCTGCGTGCCGGGAAAGGGCACTGCCCGCGCAGCGCACTTCTCACAGGCAGTCCTCGCGTACGCTGCTGCGCGGGGCCTTTCCACCTTCCTTCTCTTTGTGGACTTCACCAAGGCTTTCGACAGGGTTGTGAGGGAGGCTATTTTCGGCATGAGCGGTATCGCACGTGAAGACAAGGTGCAATACTTGCAACAGTTGGGACTCGCAGCGCACGCTGCAGAGCCCATTGCGCACTATGTCGACCGCACCGGGGGTGACATCGCAGCGGCTGGCGTGGCCGAGGGAGTAGCCAAGCTCCTCGAAAGCCTCCACAAGGCCACGTGGTTTCAGCTGGACGGCAGTGCCAGACGCATTGAGACCAAGGCGGGCACCCGGCAGGGCTGCCATTTCGGCGCTCTGCTCCTTAACTTGCGCTACGGGGCAACCATCAAGCGAGTCAGGGCTCGATTGGAGGAGGGTCTCATCACGACAGTGCCCTTCCAACCCCGGCGCAGTGCCGTGGCAGCACGAGGTCACGGCCAACCTGCACGGAAGTGCGGACAAGCAGTACAGCGTCCTCGACGCCACGTACGTTGACGACGAGGTTTTCGCTTTACTCGGCACGTCGCCAGTGGACATGTGGCGGCGAGTGCACCGAGCGCTCCAGATCATCATCCAGGAGTTCGAAAAAGGACGGGCTCGAGGTCAACTGGAGCCCAGGCAAGACGGAAGCGATCCTTTCCTTCCGCGGGGCTGGGTCGCAAGCAGCCCGCACGCGATTGCAGGCAGATGATCTAGGCCGCGACTTCTTCGAGTTAACCGCGCCCACCCCGCCTGTGCCTGACCGGGTGATCAAGGTCTTTGTCGCACGTGCGTACAAGCACGTAGGCGTGATGGTTGCTGGCAGCGGGAGCCTGCTGCCAGCCGCCGAGGCGAGAGTGGCCGCGGCGCAGAAGGCGTGGTACCCGCTCGCCAAAAAGTTCTTCTGTGCAAGGGCGATATCACAAGATACACGCATACGTATGTTCCGGAGCCTGATCCTCTCCGTGCTGTTGTCTGGCACCGAGACGTGGGCGCCGCCAGAGAACGGAGAGTTGCACGACGGCATGCGCGCAGCACTGCGCCGCATGGAGCAATTCATGACGAAGACCTTGCGGCGGATTGACAACTTCCCTCGCTACGGCCGCAGCCTGGGCGAGCACAACCTCACGGACAGACAGGTACGCGAGCTTCTCGGAGTCAGCACTTGGTGACGATGGTCCGGCAGCGCCGCCTGTCATACCTCTTTCAGCTCGTCTGCCTCCCGTACCCTGGGCTCTTAGCTTTGCTTCGCCCAGCTGGGAAGAAAGCGCTGCCATGGGCGAAGCTGGCGGCCTGCGACTTGGCATGGCTCGCCAGCCTCCAACCAGGACTGGGAGAGCTCGGACCGCCCAACGTACAGTGGCGGAGTTGGCAAGCATCGATTTCTTGCCACACGGAGTGGTGGAAGGAGCTAGTGAGGCAATCGCAGTGTTTCGAGAGCTCCCTTCCGGTTGCCGGCGTCGTGGTTTGCGATCTCACCGCCGTCGGAGCCGACGTGCCGCCTGGCCTTAGATGTCCATTGTGTCCAAGTGAGGCGTGCCGCATCCTAGACTCGCCGAGGGCGCTGTCGGTCCATATGCACCGCTGCCACGGCCACGTGCGGCAAGCCAGGAAGCATGTCATCGGCACGTGCTGCCCGGCATGCGGAACAGATTTTCACGTGCGCGAGCGGGCGGTGCATCACCTGCAACATTCTCCCAGGCAGTGCAAAAAAATTATGCTCGATGGAACCCTGCAGGTATATAGCGACCGGGCCATCCAGGCGGCCGAAGAGCAGGCCAAGACGGTCCGAGCATCTGCTGACTACCGCCGGCTGTGCAAGATGAAGTGCCGCCCGCCTCAGAGAGCGTAGGGCGTGAATGTCGAGAATTTAATGTATGTTTCCTGAGATGTCGCACTGGTGTGCAATGTGGTCGCTCGCTCCTCCTCCTCCTCCTCCTCCTCCACCACCTCCTCCTCCTCCTCCTCGGGGGAAGAAGGAGGGACGGACGGAGGGATGGAAGGCTCCCCATCCAGGTGTCGCAAAAAGATTGCGACGGCGGGTTGTTCAAACTTTTGGGCCTCTGGAAGCCGTCTCCCAGCCCCAGGGCCGAGGAGAATCCAGCCGTGGCGACGAAGAGCCTCTCAGAGTCCCCAGAGTGGCAAAACAGTGCCCAGTACATGGTAAAACGGGGAATAAGAAATGGCACAAAAAGAAACTGTGGGAGGTCCGCGCGGATTTCTCGGATCGGCGCTGGGGCCCCCTGGCGGCGCCTCCGTCGCCGCCCCTGGCGCTCCGCGCGCCAGAGGAGGAGATCCAGCGCCGATTCGAGAGATCCGCGGGGACCTTCCAAGATTGATATCAGTGTCATTGTTCATTCCCCGATTGATCCTCAAACTTTGTTCTTCGACACATGGTTGATCGAATCCCCCCACGAAGGGGCGCTCCTTCTCCCGCAGGCGGAACTCGCCAAGGTGCGCACCTGGCGACCAGTACTCCTCTCGCCCACTGGTCGGCGCGCGAGGGGGCGACGACGACGACGACGACGACGACGACGACGACGACGACGACGACGACGACGACAACGTCGGCGGCGGCGGCGGCGACGGCGACGGCGACGGTGACGGTGGTGGCGGCGGCGACGGGTCTCAGCAGCATTGCTATTTCCCTTGGCCTTTTTTACCATGCATTAGACGGCCTTCCGATGATGCTAAGTGGTGCTATGCCCGCTATGTCCCGAATCATGAGGACAAACCCTGGGGACAGAAGCGGTCTCGAAAACCGTCACTCTCCACGAGTCCACGGGTGAACTGCCCGTGACCCAGAGTCTCGGGGGTGCAGCGCGGCGCAGTGAACTTCACGCCCCCGAGCGGGGAGGGAACGGGGGGGAAGAAGGGAAGGAGGGAGGCGCGAAGCGGCTCAGGAGGGGGGAGGCAAGGGCGACCGCAGCCCAGCGGTTATCATCGCGCACACGACAACGCAAACTTGCTCAAGAAGTCGACACCTGCATCCAACAAATGCACTTGGTCAAATCCGCCGACTCTGTCGGCGTGTATGAGGGGCTTGACTGTTCGAGTCGTCGTCTCCGTCATTCGCTAGTCGTCGTCTCTGTCGTCCCATTTCCCTGCGCTCACCCTTTCACTGGGCCCGTCGCCGCTCCCCCCCTGGGCCCTCCTCCTCAAGCGCTGGGCCCGTCGCCGCTCCCCCCCTCTTCCCCAGGCCCTTCTCCTCAAGCGCGCCAACCAAAGCGAAATTGAGCGACGTCGTAATTGACTCGAAGGGAAGCCCCGTCCCTTTGATCCCTCCCCCGCCAGGAGGGAGGGGTTCCTGGGGGGGTCCCGGGTCAGATACGACTCCCGACTCCCCCCCGGGGGGTCCTGGGACTCAAAAAAGCCCCAAGACGGGCCAAGAGTGCCCCAAAAGGCCTCCAAGGCAGTCCAAGAGGGCCCTGAATCGCCTGACGATCTGTCCAAGACGTCTCCAGACGGCCCAATCGCCCTGCAAAACGCCCGAAGAAACCTAAGCATTTCGGCGTTATCGCCCCTTCCGCTTCCCGACGCTCCAAGACGGCCCAATAGGGCCGCCAAATCGCCCCAAGGGCCCCAAGACGGCCCAAGACGCCTCCGAGACGGCCTAGGAGGCCCCCAAGGCGGCTCCAAGAGGATGCCCAGACGAGGGAGCAGAACGGACACTTCGAGCCCTCGGCCCCGAGAGGCTCCCAGGGGGAACCAAGAGGCTCCCAAGAGGCCCCCAAGAGGCCCTAAGAGGCCCCCAAGAGGCCCCCAGGAAGCCCCGAGAGTTCCCCAAGAGGCCCCCAAGAGCCCCCCGCGAAGCTCCTAAGAGGCCCCTAAACTGTCCCCCAGAAGCCCCTGAGAGCGCTTCGAAGAGACCCCAAGAAGCATCCATGAGGACTCTGACTCACGTCAGCGTCGTCGTCGTCGCCGCCACCGCCGTTGTCGTCGTTCCCCTTTAAGGTCGGCGGCACCGGCCGTAAGGCCTTCGCAATCACACTGGCCCTTGTACTGCAAAGGCCGCCGTTTCCCTGCTGAAGGGAAGGGGACTCCACAAACGAGCACTGGCCCGGGAATGAAAAGGAAGAGGGCGAGGGAGGGAGGAGAGGAGGGAGCAGGAGAGAACCAGTAGGCTGAGAAGACGAGCTCGCGGCCATGGGGTGTGAGTCACCCGACCCCACCATTGGGCTCACGCGCGCTGGCCTAAGGCAAAGAATGGGGAAGGCGAAGGGGGAGGAGGAGAAAAAAAAGGAGGAGGAGGAGGAGAAGGAGAAGAGAAAGGAACGCGGGCATGACGCGCTTAATGTCGTCCCGACGGCGGGAAACGGCAACTTTGCAAAATAACTCCACTTCAACTGCGAAGAAAAGCACGCATGCTTACTCACGGAATGAAAATCACCCAAATCACCCCAGAGTGAGACGCTGGAAACAAGGCCAATGGACATCAAACTGCTGCTACGACCTGCCAGGGGAGAGGGGGGCCAAATCTTCGACGACAAAATCTGTTCGAGCTGGGCTGCGTTCCTCCGATCCCGGTCCCGGCCCCGGGGCCTTCAAAAACGTATCCACGACGCCCCCCAGGGCGGGGGTCGGGGCCGCGAATCGAAAAACTCACATCGTCGGACGTCCGGAAAAGGATGCGAGAGAGGAGGGGGGCGAAAAGTAGAAGAACAAACAACTGCATAAAGATACACTTTCGGAGCTCCACGTGGGTTTCTGAAGTCGGCGCTGACCCCCCTCCCTGGCGCGCGGAACGCGCCAGGGAGGCAGACTGCCGATCCAACACATCCGCGCTGAGATCCGACAATTTACGCGTAAGCCATGTTCTCGTCTTCGAAATGAAGGCGGCGCGAACTACTGCTTGGGGGCACGAACCGTTGCAAGGGACGTGGACTATTGTGTTTGATGGAATGTACGAATACTCCAGGCGCAACTACACCGCGTTTGGTAAGAAGCGGGGGAATTCCGGGAAGGGCGCCAACCCTGCCGACAGCCCCGAATCGACCCCCGTCGCGGGCAATCATTGCCGCAAGACGTCGAACCTACACGGCCCACGCCACCCACCGTAAAAAACAGACCCCCGGCCCACGGGCGCGGACACATTGACGTGGACCCCCTCGGAAGCGACCCCCCACGCTTACTACCAAACGCAAAGTACGGTGTTATCCCCACGAATGCCACGCCAGCAGAAAATAGGCGCAGTCGCAGGCCACGCCGAAGACGCGAAACACTGGAGCCACAATGGTGACGGAGGGGAAAAAAGAGGCGAAAGGGGCCCACCCCAAGCATTCCGCCCCCTCCAACAGGATGGACCCAGCGTGAGAATGATCTTCGCTGTCACGGGCGCGCAGCCCCACGACTAGAAGGACAAAGCACTGCGTAAACATACATTTATGGAATTCCGCGCGGATATGTTGGTTCTGAGCTGGATTTGTTGGTTCTGAGCTGGACCCCGTTCCCTGGCGCGCAGAGCTCGCCGAGGGCGCCGCCAGGGTGGCCCCAGCGCCGACCCAGGAAATCCGCACTGAACTCCAGAAGCTACGTTTTAGGGCAAAGCCCGAACTTAGTCCTCGCGAAGTAAACTGATGGAACTGAACTGGATCGAACTGAACTCGAATGGTCGCACCATTTGCGCGACGGTTTTTTTCTCGGCCGCCGAGGGCGCAACCTCAAGCGCAACCAATGGGAGACGGTTTATTCTCGGCCGCCGAAAACGCAATCTATGGTGCAACCGATAGGAAACGGTATTACGTTCGACCGCGGACGGCGCAAACGATGGCGCAACCGATAGGAAACGGCTTGACTCTCGGCCGCCGAAAACGCAACGTATGGCGCAATCGATAAGAGACGGCTTTATTCTCGGCCGCCGACGTCGCAACCTATGGCACAACCGACAGGAGACGGTATATTCTCGGCTGCCGAGGAGCAACCTATGGCGCAACCGATTCGAGACATTCTCGGCCGCGGAGGGCGCAACCTATGGCGCAACCGATGGGAGACGATTTCATCTTCGGCCGCCGAGGGCGCAACCTATGGCGAAGCCGATAGGAGACGGCTTTATCCTCGGCCGCCGAAGGCGCAACCTATAGCGCAACCGATGGGAGACGGTTTCATCCTCGGCCACCGAAGGCGCAACCCATGGCGAAGCCGATAGGAGACGGTTTTATTTTCTGCCGCCGACCCCAGAGAAGAACTACGGGGATCACGCAACGCACCGCGCATGCAAAGCATCCACGACATGCTGTATATCGTATCAATACGCACCGACACCATTGCAGATTTAGTGCTGAATTGACATGCGCTTGGTGTCAGTGGTGGCCAAGATGCGCGAATCTCGGCGCCACGGCCGATCTCTTGACTATCTGTGCGAAGTGGACCGAGGACAAAATTCACGCGTTCCGCTTTGTTCTCGCGCGCACGTCACGTCGACAGACCTCCATCGAGTGCGTTTCATTTCGCGGTCCTGCAGCGTCAGGATGCCGATTTCTCGTCTCGCCACGCTACGTGCCCACTTCCATGCAGCATCCGGTCAACGAGGCGCCCTGCGCCTTTTTGCGTTTCGACAGGGTCGGGGTCTCCCGCTGCGAACGCGACCCGCGTTTGCTTCGCCACGGACGGGCCCGCGCTTCCAGCCGCTTGAAAATATAGCGGCGTTGATCCTGGAAAGACTACTACCCCTTTCTTGAGCGCGGACTCAATCTCTTACGCTACGTCCGCGGCGCCTTGCAAACGCGCGCTTTGCGCATGCACGCGCGCGAGAAAACATGAGCGCCCAGTCGCTTTCGAGCGACGCGCGGGTTCACTCTCGCAACATACGCCAAAATGGCAATCTCACACGCCGAGCAAAGCCTAAGAAGGTTTCGTCTGCCCTATCCTCCCTCCGCCCTCTTCTCCTTCCTTCTCTCATGGACGTTAAGGGCCCCTGGCCCCCCATGACGCCCTCCGCCGGCCAAGGTGGTCCACTCAGGCCGCGGGGGGGGGGATGGAGGAGGGTTAGGGTCTTCTTTTCCTAAGAATTCTGTACCTCGTCGCCACTGGGAGAGGGGCGGTGCACCGTTCCGTCGGATGGGCACACCCCCTTTCCAGGAGCTCTCGACCCCATCCCGCGCCCTTCTCCGTCATTTCCCTCCTCCTCCCCCCCCCACATCATTGCCTTCGGCATGTCCGCCATCGGCCGCTCTGCCGAACACATCGTATCGATCTCAGGTTCCGATGCACATCGGCACAGTGGGATCCGGCGAATTTTCATTAATCATCCTTTCTACGATGCCGAGGGCGCCACCGATGGCGCGGTCCTAGACGAGGACGACGAGGATGAGCTGGAGCAGGAGGAAAACGAGGAAGACGAGGAGGATGAGGAGGAGGACGGGGAGGAGGACGACGACGATCAGGATGGGGAGGAGGACGGGGTTGAATACGAGTAGTACGAGGACGAAGGGTGGGCATTCGAATGCGTGCGGGGCTACGCCCGATTTGTGTGGGCTGGCGGTG